TTAAATGATCAGTAAAATAGATGAAATGGTCAGTAAGATAAATGGTCAGTGAAAAGTATATAAATGATCAGTAAAAAGATTGAATGGTCAGTACTTAGACTATCACTCATATAAAAAAAAGATTGGAAAAAATCTAATTTTAATCGATTTTTTAAATCAAACCAGTGATTAAAATAAATTAAATTTATAAATATTAATTTTAATGGCGGCGACGGTAAAATGCGTTTTCTCAAACTTTATGTTGAAAACTCAGATGTTCGATCGCTTTTTCGGACTCCTTGCCTCGGAAAATTAGTAGATATGATGCTAGATCGACCTTTGACATAAATTCCATGCTTCAAGACTCGATATCAATTGGTACTTATTCATTTAAAAAGAAAAACTATTAGAATTGATTAAAATCGATTTAAAAATTTTAATCGATTTTAATAGATTAAAAATCGAATAATCTGACTAAAATTGAGTAAAATAGTCAATGAAAAAATTTTAATCGGTTAAAATGGATATTTATAAATTTAATTTATTTTAATCACTAGTTTGATTAAAAACCTGGTTAAAACTGTCCCATTTTAATCGATTTTTAATCACAAAAAAATCGATTAAAATCAGATTTTTTCCAATCTTTTTTTTTGTATGAGTGATAATCTAAGTACTGACCATTTAATCTTTTTACTGATCATTTATACATTTTTTACTGACCATTTATCTTACTGATCATTTCATCTATTTTACTGACCATTTCATTTATTTTACTGACCGCTTAATAATATCCCTTATTCAATTAGAAGACTTTTTGTTAAAAAATCTAAAACGATTTGTTAGGATGCGCACATTGAATAGGGATGTTCTTTTCTACAGAATTTACAATGTCAAGATTGATAAATGACGACAAAATATGGAAGAAATAAAACGTATACGTCAATAATACCAGTAACTTTTTTCTATGATCAGAGCAAAATTTCAAACTGTTTACATATGAACCGAATCATCATAGCTTGTTAGAAAAGTTGTTAGTGTAATCAGTACGGGATTAAAATGTTTCAACACGATCGAATTGTTTAGTTACATTATAAAATGAGAAAATACTTGTACAGAATTAAAAAGCTTAGCAAAACTTGAAGTTATACCAAAAACATTTCTATATGGAATTGTAGTTTAGGTAATCAGTCATTTATAAAAGTAAAAAAGTTTGACTTGAGAAGGACGAAAACAGAGTGTGGGTGTGGGTGTGGGTGTGGGCCCTCTCTTCCCTCACACCCACCCCCACCCCCACCCCCACCCCCACCCACCCACACCCACACCCACACCCTAGTTTATACTCGCTTTAATTGTTTAGTGTATGTGTATGATACGATGGGTCATTTGATGTCCCAAGTAATCCATGTTAAGAAAGTGTTTCCTGAAAGCATTAATACGAAACTGAATTGTTTCTTTTATAGAGTACAATTTTTATGTTATAGCATGATTTAGGAGGTTCAATATTTCACCAAATTTCATTCCTGCTGATTTTGTAAACATTTGAAATCTATAACAAAAATGCGTTGTTGGATTGTTCATGCTTTTACTCAGACTACGGTTTTTCTGTAAGGGTAACTTTATAGTGAAATGAGAAACTATGAAATGAAAGAATAGTTAGTTTTTGAAAAAAAAATATAAATTAAAAACCACATTTTCTTTTTCGTTTGTGTTAAGGAACAAGATGGAATATCGCACCAACCAAGATTACAATATCATTCTGATTCTCATAATCTGAATGAATACCATGTTTATTGCTTTCTTCTCTTTTGTAGTTTTCTTTAGCAGTTATGATCGTTTTTATAATTTATTGTTTGTGTTGGGAAATCAAATGATGTGGAACATATATCATTAGCCTTATTAAGTCTGCCTTGAACAATATAGAAAATTTGTGAAATGGAGCTCAGAAAAACCAAACCTACTTATTAGAAGTATACGGGAGAAAAATGGTGGAATAATGAACCTTTTTGTTGAAACCGTAGAATAATATACCGTTAGAGATAAAATAATAAACCCTTCTCCATAACTCACAGTATAATAAACCCTTTTTTAGATGTCATAATCCCTTGCTTTTTTCATATACCCTTGCTTTCATAAACCTTTCGTTTCCTAAACTCTTCCGTGGTTCAGGAAAATTTTTACTTACTGGAAAGGCTTATTATTCTACTATTTTTTTACAGTGCAATACAATAAAAACGATTATTCCTAACATATTCAACACAATATTCTAAGAAGTGAGGGTATTTGAACAAAAGCACAGTCACTAAAATATCTATACAAGAGCCTTTTTCGCCGAAATATTGGAGTGTAAACCACAACCAAACAGATTCTACATGAAAGTCAGAGAAAATTGAACGTACCATGCCCAGGCAAGGCTTACAAAGTTGCATATAGGAAGCACAGGTAGCGCTTTAGAAATACCAGTTATCATTCTCAGGTAGGGCTTAAAAAGTTGCTCAAACAGTTACGCTAATTGAGTACTAATCAGTTGGGTACTAATTAATTGATTATCACTTATTTAACAATCACATATTGCCTTAGTATTATAATTCATAAAAACATGCATTGGGTATTATTGGTAAAATGCCGATACGTACGTAAGCTCTAAATTCGCAGTTTAGGCACTTTGGAACTGACTTCTTTTTGTCCACCACAGGATAGCACTTGAGCACCTATGGATACCCCCATAAAATAGATCTTCACGATCTAACAGTACCTTCATATTATCGCCCGTGAGAAATTGAGAGCACCCTCATACGATAGTGTCAGGAGCTATGGGTACTCACATAGGATAGCTCTTAAAGACCTATGGGTAACCCCATAGAATGGGACTCGAGGACATATGGATACCCTCATGGGATAGCTGTTGAGCACCTGTGGGTGCACTCATAGGATCGGTCTTGAAAATCTATGGGTAATCCCATATTGTCGCAGTTGAGCATCTACAGGTACCCCTATAGGATAGACGTTGAGGACTTATGCGTATCCAATACTCTGAAAAAAATAAAGCAGTTTTCCAGAACCCATTGAAAGGGTTCTGCAGATATACAAAAGTGTCCAAATAACTCGAAAATTCCAAAAAAAGGATAAAAAATTTTCCAGAACCTTTTGGAAGGTTCCGAGTTTTACCCACTTCCAGAACCCTCTCCTGCAAAACCTTTTTTTGGTTCCATCGGAAAATACAGAACTTTTTGGGGTTTAGTCGAAACCATCAAGGTTCCAGACTAAATTCCCAAAGGTTTTGTAGTTTCCGACAGAACCAAAAAAAGGTTTTGCAAGAGAGGGTTCTGGAAGTGGGTAAAACTCGGAACTTCCAAAAGGTTCTGGAAAATTTTTTATCCTTTTTTTGGAACTTTCGAGTTATTTGAACACTTTTGTATATCTGCAGAACCCTTTCAGTGGGTTCTGGAAAACTCCTTTGTTTTTTTTAGAGTAGGATAGGTCCTGAGGATCTATCGATACCCCATAGGATACCCCTTGAGCACCTATGGGTACCCCTATAAATAGACATTCATGTGCTATGAGAACTCCGACAGGATATGGCTTCAGGGCCAATGGGTAATCACATATTATAGCGCTTCACGACCTACGGATACCTCCATAAGATAGACCTCCAGCACCTACGGGTACTCTCATATTGTAGTGCTTGAGAACTTAAGGGTATCCTTGTAGAAGAGACTTGAAGACCTATGAGTACACCCATAGAATAGCCGTGACCACCTGTGGCTATTCCCTTACGATAGGCATTCAGAATCTATAACTACTTTCATAGCATAGACCTTGAGGACCTATTGGTACCCACATAGGATAGCACTCCAGGACCTATAGGTACCCATAGGATAGCCCTCGAGCACCTATGGATACCCCAATAGGCTACCCATTGAAGGCTTATGAATACTCCCCTAGGATAGGCCTTCAAGACCTATGAATACTTCCATTGCATAGGTTTTGAGGAAATATGGGTACCCCCATAGGATAACCCTTGAGGATCTATGGGTACCCATAGGATAGCCCTTGAAGACCTATGGATATCCCCCTAGATAGGCCTTCAGGATCTATGAGCACTTTCATAGCATAGACCTTGAGGACCTATGGGTATCCCCATTGGATAGGCCTCGAGGGCCTACGGGTACCCCCTTCAAGTAGGCCAGGTGATGCCACAACCATCCGAGGTAATGCCACAAGCATCCCAGGTGATGCCCCAAGCTTTTCGGGTGACGCCCCAAGCATCCCAGATGATGTCCCAAGAATCCTAGGTAATGCCCGAAGCATCCCAGGTGATGCCCCAAGCATTGTAGATGACGCCCCAAGCATCCCATGTAATGTATCTATTGAACATCAGATATAACTCAACCTAGCATCTCAGTCAAGTGGGTCTTGCTGGTATAAACCACAAAACATGGACTGGATTTTATTGGTAAAATGTGGATGCGTAAGTGCGCTCCAAATTTGAAGTTTACATGTGGAGCTCACTTTTTTTGACGAAGAAACTACACATAAGAAATATCTTGCCTTGCAGAATCGTCGTAATATCCGAGTAAAGATCACAAATGAGATCAAATGAAATGTTTTATTTTTGCAAGAAAATAAAACAACAAACAAAAGAAGAATGATGATCAAGTGAAAAAGAGACAAGAAGAGAACAAGAAAACAACAATGAATAGAAAAAGAAAAACAAATAAAATGAATGCTAACAACTAAATATCTGTAAACGTTACTACATTCGTTAAAAAATTCATTATTCCCGCTTGTGTATTAGATGAATATAAATTGATTTGCGAAGCAATTCGTGGCGAAACTGCATGTGTGTAACGTATTTTGGGAACTTCTGACGGCACTTGTCGAGGATTGAAGCATTGCGGACCCTCAAATCCGTCATATCTATGATGTGCCCGGTTATTTATATCACCAGCGCGACAAGATCGAACGACGTATTGCCATTCAGTTAAATTATTTATTTGTTGTTTTGGTGTTTGATAATCGACTTAATGATTATTCCGTGTATTATAATCGGCCTGTGGTACTTCGACGATGAGTATTGCAGCTTGTTGGTCACTATATGGTGCAATCCGACGTTCACACCAATCTTTCGCATCTGTAAACGACGTATTCACATAAAAACCTAGTCCAAAGTCTAAATTTAGACGAGCACTCACAGCATCGAGGCCGTAACGAAGAATATGAGCAGCTTTGTGTACTTGAGTTGCATGAAATAATAGTTTCGCATCGTTTCTCTCCTGTATTAATCCAGTTTCACGTAAACTAACATATTGCATATTTGTATGATAATTCTTAGCTGTAACGGGTTGAAAATTGTTTGGTAATAATTCATGTGTTACTTGAATATCCAATGTTTGTATTTTGTTTAGTGGTGTAGATGTTAATGATGGATCAACTGGTATTTCATATATAAGAAAACATCGATATAAACAATATTGAAGTGCATAATAAACAGCATCTTGTTTATCATCATTTTCGTATTTTCTAGTTTGTTTATCAATAAACATGGCACAGTCAGATGTTAAACCTAACTTCATTAATTGTAATTTAACCTCCTGGATACCGACAATTCTTGCGTTCTTTACGATCTAATGGAAAAATCGAAAAGTGACTCTCTCTTGCGTTCAATTGTCGTGAATCAGCTGCGTACGTATATATTTTATTGCACATCAAATGTGGATTGATACAGCCGTATTACTGAACATTTCGCTTCACAGCTGTTTATCGATACGACAGAACAAAAAAAAATTCTTGCGTTCTGCTTGTCTTCAGCCTGAAGACAGCGGTATCCAAGAGGTTAAAATCAGCTTTATCATAATCAAGATAAGTGTTAATTTGATATTCAAAATAAGCTGGAATTAAATGAAGTAACGAAGCACAAGCAATATTTTCCATATCCAACCACTGCAAAAATTGTGTTGTATCAAGACCTATTTGTGTCAGTTTATGAACATCACGATAGAATGATAAATTTTGATAGAGATCATCATCAAGTACTGGCACAGCTTTCATCTATAAGAAGAAAAAATACTGAGACTATAAAACCTATTGATTCAAAATAGTGTTACTTTTGGAATTGTACATTGCAAAGATTCTAAAGCAAATCGAGTACAATGAATAATGTCTCTTACAGTATTTTTTTTATTGTGAGAATTATGTCCTTACCCATTGGTGCGTTCATGTTCATGTTGATATCAATAATTGGCGAAATCTGTGTATCATAACCTTTGTAAAACCAGTTTGTTCTCATTTCTTCTGTTGTCCACTCATTTCCACCATACTCATTCTGAATTGTATCATATTCAATACTAAGTGTTTCATGGAAACTGATTTCTGATTTCAAAATATCTACATGAACTAACTAGATGAAGATAAATTAGCATTAAAAGTATGTTTTACTTCGTAATTGTTCGGATACATTAACTACATTAATTGTTTCTTCAAATAATGTTTTCACGTACACCAATTGGACGATGAGTTTTCTCTTCATCAATTAACGACATTAAAAAAAATATGTTGAAGATTAACTATATCTTCATTGTTTATTTTCCATTTCATTAAACATTCACGTTTGACCATTAATATTTGATTATTTCGAAAATAATTTGGAAAATCTTTTTGATTTATATCATCAAAATACTTTATATCTTTTTCAAGTTCTGATTGAGAAGAAAAAAGATTTTGTAAAAAATCTGCTTTATTTAAAATGATAAATAAAGGTACATGTGGTAATATTTTTAACTGATTAAGTAAATTCTCATCAACATCTGATTGATAATGTAACAATAATCAAATAGCATGAATTGGAAGTAAATTGTTGCGAATAAATTGTTGTACTTCATGCCAAATATGATCATTTGTTTCAAATGTTGATATTTTAATAAATGTTAAATGTTTATCTAAGTATTTTATTTGCTCATATTTTGTTCCAGATATAGTTTCATGTACAATATTTTCACCAATAATGGTTTTTATTAATGTTGTTCGACCACTACCGATAGAGCCTAGCACAAGAATTTGACATGTGATGTTAGTACTCGTCATGTTATAACTTCTTTATCAGCTAAACAGAATCTAAAAATAATCGTGTTTATTAACAATTAATTAAAAGCTTGTTAAATTTTGAACGTGAAAGCATTAATTCCCCAGCAAAAAAAAGAAACTTCACAAGAACCTTCACACACATGTCCATTGATATACATACCCAACGTCACCTTTCAAATATAAAATCGATGAATATTTTCATTAGATAAATCAATATATTCATCATATAATAAGGTCAAACAGCATAGAAAATACATATCAAAGAACTTCATTATTAATATATTTGAACTAAAATCAGCTAAAGGACGTAGAAGAAATAATAACGTATATGTGAATGCACTTTGAGAAAAAGTTGGATGTGAACCAAAGTCAAGTATAAGTGTAAATATTAAATAACATGAATCAAATGCAGCTAATA